AAAAACAAAAACAAAACTATTATATCCACCTAAAACTAAAGATACATAAATAAATATTTTTTTAAAAAAAGATTCCAATAGGCATCATACTTTGAGAACACCTGCCTGACCATGCAGGTAGTTAAGTATGCCTATGGTGTCCTATACAAATAGGTCAGGGACTGTGTACCCTCCATTCCTCATTCTCACCTGAAAGGAACAATGTTGCAAGTTTAGAAGGCATCATTTGTAGATGAACAGAGTATAGAGTCCAAAACAGACAAAAAGAGGGGATACTTGAAAAAGAGGATGAGGGAGTGGGACCTAGGCATGTTCCTTGGCTCTTTATTCTTCATTGATACTGTAACTGCTATGATCTAAGTACTGGGCAAAAATAACCAATGTGTCAGTGATGAAGAATATGTGAACAACACTGGAGAAGGTGGGACTGCTGTATCTTGAAATGCAGCAAGGTGTGGTCTCCAAGCTTGTGGAAACAGAATAGTCATGGGAAAGGAATCATCCTAAAGAAGAGTTACTATGTCTTTAGGAAGCATTTTGGCTCTGGACTACTTGGGACAAAGCTGCCTCTCCCTGCTCTTAATTATGCCTCAGTTAATTGCATATATCCTCCCTGGGCCTCAGTCTTCTCATCTGTAAAATGTGACTCATAATGCCTTACCCACTCAAGTGGGTTGAAGGAATAAATGGAAAAGATGAATGTGAAAGCCCCTTGTAAACTATAAACTGCTTTCATAAAGTTAATGTGAAGTGTTGATTGCAAGGTATGATGTGGTAATGATGCTGGTATTATTGTGTAACTATTACTATACAATCAATACCCCATTTGTCCCCTCATATCATTGAAGAAGAAAGGTATTCATGGGGAGGGGAGCTTTAGTTTTATCTTTTTGCAAATGTCATAACTTCAGTTCTCTCCATGGCCAAAGTATATTCATATTTTTTATGATACACCGTTTCTCTCTGGGCATTTTGCCATTTATTCCCTCATAAATCTACCTCCCCTATTCCAACTTCCTCTTCCCTCCCCCTCTGTGATCCTTCCTTCCTCTTTCCAGAACTACAGAGGACTCCTACGCCTGCTCTTGAGGTTGAAAAAGGTGTCCCGAAGCAGAGCCTAATGGCAACCCTGCTTTTACTTGCTTTAGCTTAAGAAAAGTGGCGCTCCTCTTTAGCAGAGGCTCATTGTTTGTTCTCTCCCTTTTCCCCTGGTGTTTCAGCCATTCAGAATGTCAATAATTTACTCTAAGACAACACGGGGCCTGGGAGTGTCTGTTTATATGTGTGTGCTCACAAGACGGTGCACCACTGCACCGGAATGAGCCATGTTCTTCCTTATCAGGTGCGCCCAGGGGTGACTGCAAGACAGCAGCTGTCCGACCCTGCCTGACTCACTAGTGTTGCAATCTGGGAAATGTATTTCAGGCCTGTTTATCTCTGCCCAAGGCAGGGCCAAGCTTGACCCATGGGGCCTCTGATCTCAGGAGCAGCTTCTCCAAAGCAAGAAAATAGGCCTGGAGAGAGTATAATGCTTTGAGCGTGATACTAGACAGAACAAGATGACCCTGGTCATTTGGTCATTAGTGGAAAAGCCCAGCCCAGAATCTACTCTGTCTCCAAAATTACTTATTAACCCCTCTAGAACCAAAGTGAATTTATCACTGTCCCTGACTGGTGGGAAAACCCCCAGACACAGCCTCCTCGTTCCATCCGATGGTTTCTTCTCAGAAAAGAGGGGATTTGTTGTTGTTGTTTTTGGTTTTTTATTTATTTTTTATTCTAATTTGTTATATATGACAGCAGAATGCATTAATTTCATATTACACATATAGAGCACAATTTTCATATCTCTGGTTGTACACAAAGTAGAGTCACACCATTCATGTCTTCATACATGTACTTAGGGTAATGATGTCAATCTCATGCCACCAAGAGGTTTGTTTTGAGCTGGTCCACTGGCATCTGGGATCACAGGTGCAGACCCCTCCCAGAAGGTCATCATATCAGCAGTTTCCTTGCTGCTGTGGAAACAGAAGCTCAAGACTTATTGCAACTCTTCTCCATGTGACCTTGTCACAGTGTGTCCCCAGAGAAGCAGTCAGGAGAGCTCAGGAACATGCAGCACAATTCAGTGATAGCTTGGAGACAGAGAGCCCCTCTAGTCCTGGTTCTACCTGTTACCAATAGAATCTTGGGCCAGGTCACCCAACCCTTATGCCTCAGTTTCCTCATTAGTAAACAGGATGACAGCTTCTGTACTCCCTTTGCCTGGATCCAACAGGAGATGTCGCAACCCTGACGGTGCTAGTCAGATGGAAGGTATGATCCTATCCTCTCCCCTCACCACATCTCCACCCCAACACCAAACCTCCAAGAAGGAGTGAGTTTAGAAATATCACACACCTGTATTTAGGGAGCGCTCTCCTTGTGCCAGCTTGCCCTGGTTGTAGCCCTTGCTTTGCTGGTTACGGCCTCCGGCATTTCCTTTGTTGCTGTCTCACCCCCATCTGGAACTTGGAGGCCTCAGGCCTCTGCTTCTTATCTATAGGTGAGCCCCAGGTGACCTCCTCCAGTCTCAGCTTTAACTACTGTTGTTGACTGCCTGCCTGACCAGCGTTCCTGAGAGAGGTCCTCAGCCC